CGCAATAGATTGACAAATTACAATATACAAAGCACTCACAAATATAATAAATGTTCGTTTAACTCAGTTACATTGACACAATGATGAGCGAAAAACAGAAGATTAGTGTTTAACACATGAAATAAGTTATGGTGAATAACAAAAAAGAAAGCCATAGGTACATAACATCTTAGAATGTTTCAAACAAGTCTTTTAACACCATCAGTTCAGACAAATCAGATTCGAGTATAGAATACTGAGCTGAATTATCAGCATACCATTCCACTGCTTTTACTAGAACTGAAGTATGTTCAACAAATTTTGTTGATATTCTTAGATAATGAATATAATTCTCTTCTTTCATCCAGGTCCTTCTAACTTCATTCGAATTCATTTGTTCTATTACGAGTGTTTCATCCTAAGAGTCACATAGAATTGCCAAATATTTTTCCTGCTACCTCAAACGCCTATCTTCAAATGGAATCTTCCCAAACAGATATACAAAAACAATCGTTCAACTGCCAACTATATATCACGGGTTTTCAAACAGGTGTAAAAGATCATTCCTCTGTCTTAAGGTGAGTAGTAGATAGATCGCAAATAGCCAGGTGAAGAGAGGTAAAGCATAACGAGAAAACAAAACTTTTTGACCTTTGAAGTCCCCCTCTCATTATTTTGAATCACCTTGACTTTTTATCTTTTAACTACGCTTCTATTCAACACGAATATGTCACTTGAATACCTAGCATTTTTAATTGCTTTAAACAACTCTCATATCAGAACTGATCAAACGCTAACTTGAAATATACGAAGACCATGACAACGGGAGAAGACTTTGACATTAGAGAAGAACTCAACATTGTAGTTTAAAATTTTCACGAAAGCCAGATTATGTTTCTCATAAAATACCTCCACGGCTTAGAGTATCACAAAAATGCGCCAGAAACAGTTTTTCATTCATTTTTAAGAACACATTAAATAAAGATACAAGTTTTGTTACAGAAAAAGGATAAATAGAATTGTTATTTAGTCAGAATCAATATTTTCTTTGTTCAAGTTTTGAAAAAACATTTCAATTAAAGATAAATTGAAAATTTGTAACATTAGTAAATAGTAGGACAATAGTAGAAATTGGAACATAAAGCTTGACAATGTATTAGTGTCACAAGACTTTTTTAATTCTTGTCACCGAACTATCTCTATCACCTCTGCAAATGTTGTCAACGACATCTTTTCATCAAAATTTTCACGGTCTGTTCAAGAAGTGATTAACATAACTCAAGTTTTATTCAGTGAGTGTATTGAAAGAACTATGGCTCAATGAGAAATTATATCGAAATTATTTGCTTAATACTCGATCAAATAATGAATACTTCTGAAACATCGATCAAAAATTGTTTTTGAAGCAATGTTTGTTTATAAGTAATTTCACAAGGTTTGTTGTGAGATGATAATATCAGTTTTTTTTTGTACCAATAGAAATGATTACTACATTTTAGTTACAATGTAATTATTGGGTACACGACATTAATTCGATAGGTCATAAATAAATTTGAATGGAAAATAGCATTGAAAGCAGACGTCACGCTAATCATCATCTATCTTTCGTTAATACGTATTTAATGAATGAAGACAGTCAATAATATTATTGAAGTACTATATCAGATCTACATACAACCGAACAAAACCAAAAGTATAGGTAATTTTTCGTCTCTATAAACTGCAATCATTTTATGCTTAACAATTCCTTGTATATTACTACGAATAAGTACATATCAATATATCAACTTAAAAACACATTGGATTAAGATTTCAACTATTAGCAACTAATATATACTTTTATAGTGACTTACGTTTTCAGTCACGCACAAATAAATAAATCGCGTTATTCTCTGCACATTTTATATATAGCATCCATATTTTCGTATAGATAATAAAAATATTTTTTTCAAAAACGCTACTTGTATTATTTATATATACTGATGAAGACCAAGCTCAATCTATAAGATATTCAGCATGTGAAAGAAAACCAATATTAAATATCATTGTATTATGATGCAAAATAGCAATATATGAAAAATTATTCTTTATATTAGTTTCATTTTTATAACTCTATGTAGTAGAATTTTTTCTTTTTTCTATATACTTAACTTTATTGACTTGCTTAGATAGAGTATGACAAACTGATCAACAAAAAAATGTGTGCTCATTGATTTGGAACGAGTTTTTAGGTTGAAAGTTCCTATTTTTTTTCGATGACATACTTTTTGTGAAAGTAGAGATCAGTTTGTCCTGAAAACAGAAGTCTTATACTGAAATAAATTTTATTATTCTTGTTTGAAACACAATCAAGAGGTCATTGTTGAAGCGAATCGAATAATTCAATGCAGTTTCGATCTCTGATAACTATATCTTACTTTTTAGAATAATGAAAAATTGTTTAGTAAAGTGATAAAAATTTCTAACACCTACAGAGTATAGAATAAGATAAATCAGAAATGAAATGCCTGACTTAATAATTAGAAGTGTCATACTTACTGTTACTTCCATTACTACGAATCATAGTAATAATAAGTATTTTTATGATGGAAAAACTTTCTATGTAGCAGCATTAAGTGGTTAGTTTATTCATGGTCTATTTATAGTTGCATGGTAATCATCATCACTTACTACTTACCTGGTAGATAGTGGGGCAACCAGGTGAATATGACCGAAAAGTTTTATTTTCTCAAGTTCAAATATTCCAATGAATACATCTATAATTAGTCTATCCTATCGAAAAATTGGATTTTCACATTTTCATAAATCATTAAGTATACGAAGATCATTTATGTGATTAATATATTCAAATATTTTAAAATGAAAAACTACTTAAAACAATTGATTGACAGATAAACTGTGTCCTGTGAAAAAATTATCTTGATCGAACCAGAAATAAAGTAGAAAAACAAGCGATTACCAAGTCTAAAGTAAGTCCAAAAATTAGTCATACAGTATTTAATGATTTCCCAAAACAGTTTTAATATGCTTGAGTTCAAACTTTCACCAATTATTCTCCTCTATATTATTTATCATTGTGTATAGCGCCTTGTTTTAGCAGCAAACAGAGACAGAGTTAGTGATGTCCTAAACAATCAGGTTGCTGCTTCAGAATCGTTAGTTTCGTATATTTCATACCGAACAAAATTTCGGAAAATGTGGCAAGGATCCTCACTAGATTAGTTTCGCGAAAAATAGTCTTTCCAGGAATTAGTTTATTTTCTCAGAGATATATTGCTGCTTCTGAGCAAAACAAAACTTCGTTTTTGAAATTGAATTTTACATGGTTGCCTGCTAAACAAAGTTGCATATAGTATAGAGGCTGGAAATTACCGTTATACCGAGGAGTTACCTAACCGAGTAGAGGCATCAGTGTTCATGTTCCTTGTAGTTCTGTTCTTCAACCAACACGAACACATATGACAACACTTTACATGAATTTTCTAACGCTTTAAGCTATCTAAATATTCCTGTGTGCCTTTTTTATGGCAGACTCTTGAGTGCTTCAAGAAACAGAACCAGAGACTGACTTCCATAGTTTCAGACTCGAAAACCTGAACTCGAATCTTGAGGTCCAAACCCACTGAATTTGAAATAGTATAAGTAAAAACTTATTATGCATAATTTTCAGATCATCAAGACACGCTGGAACGAAACGGTGATAGAACAAATTTTGTAGTACACTGCTAGTAGTTCTTCAAACAAAAACTGTAATTGCATGCTTCCCTATTTGACTCATTGGCATTTTTATCATGACAAAACAGTCTATAATAGCTTTTCGGTTATCCACTTACAGATGTGGTAGGTCTCAACCGTAAAATTCGAGTTTAGAATTTCGGATATCCCAAAAACTAAGGTTTTCTGATGCAAAATTGGCATCCTTAACTCTAAAGTAACAAGGCAACATATTAACTTAGAAAATACAACTATTTTGAATTCTGAGGATGTGAAAATTTGAAACTAGGATGAACAATAGATAAAAATTGAATCGATTAGAACCTTTTTCTCTTGATAAAATGATATTTTTTATAACTCTAGATAAGTATGTAATCAATCAATGTCATGAGCCTATTGAAACAAACTGATGATTTCGAAATCTTAAAGTTTTATTTGCAATTGTCTTTATTTAAACTAACAAAATATTCAAACTTTTTTACTAGCTGTGCCTTTTTTTTTTATTCATTATGATATCCTGTCTCTTTGAGATTCGGCTTAATAGATAATTCCTGGTCCTCGATAGAATAAAGAACCCGAACATATATATATCTATCGAAAACATTCGTCTAATTCTACTTTTTTAAATAAAACCCCTGCTATTTTTCACACAATCAAAATCGCTTCTATATATATTCATATTCGAAAATGATAACTGAAACAATAATGTATATTGCACATACTATTCATTGAAAAGCATCTATATCTTAAGAGATACATATTTCCAACAGAATTTTCTTCAAAGTTGGTACACTTTTTTACGAAAGATCAAAATTTAAAAAAAGACCTTTTCGACAATTTGGGACATCCAAAATGAATTTCAGTTTAGTCGAATCTCGATGCGAACTAATATCCCTGTACAGTTTTCTTTAGAAAACTATGTAGGACCTATAAACAAAGAAAATCATTGAAATCGAAAGTAGCTATCTAAGAATGTTAGCTAGAAGGCTAACATTGAAAAAGGTTGACTATTAACCTGATCATGATATTATTGTTAATTCTATTAGTTACCTTTCTAATAATGTCACAATACACGAAAAACTACAAATCCAAAACATAATAAAATATATTAGTTTCTTTTATTGCTTCTCAAAATTTTACTCTTCTTCCATGAAATATCAAGGCCCGAATTGAAATTTTCATAAAATTTCTTTTCCGAAAATATGATTCTATTCCATTCTACATAGGCAGATGATAAGACTTAATGAATATTTTAAGAATTTTTTTTTATTTCGACAATAAAGAACTAAAAAAAAAGCAATAGTCAATTATTCTTTGGCCCAATCAGGGTTATAATTTGGTCCATGAAGTGTTTCAAGAAGTGAATGAATATATCGAATAGCACCATCAACTGTATCCATACGAGACATTTTTTGCCGTTTTCGACCTTTTTTATACGGAAGTACATTTCTTAATTCCTCATAAGCTTGATTAATAATTTCCATACGATGACGTTCACGACGATTTGCTTCTTGCCGTTGTGGGCGTGAAAGTACACGACGTTTTTTTCGACCAATATAATTCTTCTCATTCATTGTTGACGACATACTACTTTCAGTGTCTTCATCATTCATATTTTCGGATTCTTGGTACATGATATTTGAATTTGATTCCTTAAGATAAAAATCAAACATCTATTTATTGAAAAATCTTAATATGTAATCAGTGATATTCCGAGAATCTTAGCCAAATAATTCTTAATCGATAGGGTGTTCCTTTCGACTTCGAACTTATTACAAGTAAACTTCTTAATAAGATTAATTCATTGCATAGCTACTATTTCCTTCTTGAAGATGTCAATATATGAACGGGGAAAAATACTTGAAGAATTAAATCTAATCTGATTAAGTACTTTATTTGTCTAGAGTTGGCGTTTGAAAATAGATTTCTCACATAACCACAATTGTTTATTCAAAAACCGGAGTAAAACTTCAACATGTCAAGAACGAAAGTTTAAAAAAAAATATACCATTCTAAACTGTTCTATAACTCATTAAATGAACAACATCTTGATATAAAAGTGATTAGCTATTTAGAAAAGTTTTTTCTTGATCCTAAATATAAAATTACCTTCATAACACATGATGAACTTGAACAACATGGATCAACAAAACTTGTCTCATTCGTCGCACTTTCATATCCAGATGATGAATTTAAACTCGTCTGTATGGATGAATTCATTATCATATTTGGATTATACGGTGATGAAATATATGGACATGAGTAAAAGTTTGATGGAGTAGTTGTTGTTGCTGTTGATGGATAAAATGGTGGTATTGAATAAGACCAAAATGATGAATTCATTGTTTTTACTTTCGTATGATTGAAAAAACTTTTCTACATTTCAATTTATATGTCCATGCCAGGGAAAAAATGATCAATTTCCACGCATTAAAATGAATATTTCGTCATCTACTCATCAAGGTAAATGTTCACTAATTAAGAATGACGAGCAACTAATCATTTATCTATGAGAGAAATGATGATGATGACGATATATATATATGGACTAATCTGACGGATGAGCGTATCTGCGTTATAATGAAAATTGTTAGTTCCACAAACTCATGAATTCATTCAAACTGTTGTATGAAAATATTTGCATTTTTTCGAAATTATAAATGTGACATTCTATTCATATATATTATTAAAATAATTTTTTCTGTTGATATAACAATAGATTATTATTATTATTATTTAATAAGATAAACAAATACATAACAAACAGTAATCTAATCTAACGTTTTATATACAAAAAGAAAAAAAAATTCAACATGAATCAATAGTATCGGTTACATTTACTGTTCATGATAAAAAACAACAACATAGAAATGTTGTATAAGATTTTTGTTCAATTAGACTATCCATACAAGAAGTTGATCAATTGATGAACGTCGTCGTAAACGAATACTATGACTTGTATTAGTTTGATATTGATAATAATGAAGTGTAGCTGAATGATGATGAGAATTTTTTTCCTGATCATTAGATTTTTTTATTTGATTCTGTTGAATTTTATTTCGTTGATAATTTAATGTTTGAAATGCATGTTGTCGACAAAGTTCACAAACAATAAATGGACGTGTACGTCGTTGTTTAGCAAATAATGGTGTTGAACAACGAGGACTTTGTGTTGAATTAGTTGACGATAATATTGAAGATGAAGAATTTGACAATGTTATCGGATGAGCTAGAAAACAACAAATAAATACTTGACATTTAAAATTCAATTGACAAATGTCGGCATCGGTCTCATTTGATATTTAGCTAAATACCCAAGTCAACAAGTTATTCAAGAGCATTCTCATCTTCGACACATGTTTTCGTTTGTCTTTTGAACGATAGATGTACAAGGCAAAAAAGAAAGAAGAAAAAAATTAATTTTTTGATGCTAGACACTAAACTTGAATGTTAAGTTCAAGTAGTGTAAATGAGAGAAGGGCGGATTATTCTATGACTAGATCACAGAAGAACAAGCCGACAAACTAAATACTTATACAATCGATATTATCCTTCTTGATCATATAGCCAAAAGCTCTTTTTTTAGTGGATTTTTTTCTTGTTTCTTTTTTAAATTGTGAATAATTATATATCAGGAACATCCTAAATGAAGTTTCAGCGTTTTATTGTTTGTTTTGTTCACTAATCTGTCACGTCAAATCCAGTTAAACTAAGCGAAAATCTTCTAATGATCTTCGAACTAGTTCCTTCTCATCATAGTGACCTTCGGAGAAATTTCTACCAGTCCTGGCGGTCTCGATAAACTCTTGTTTAATATTAATTGAAATAAAAAGAAATTTTTTTTCTTTCAATCAAACAGTATAGTGTGAAATAACTTCTACATTGATAGTTGAAGTGCTTCTAGCAGCTTTTGTTTATAAACCAACGATTGTTGTTTATTGATCACAGGCTTTACTCGATATATATATATATATGTATGTAGAAAAAGAAAGGCGAAGTGATGCTGTTCTTTTTAGCGCTTGCACACTCTCAATAAAGGATATCCTGTCGCTCTCTTTTTAATTCTATTGATTTTCATTTAACACAAAACTGTGACTTTTTGTCTTTACGGTAAACTCATCCCAGTTAATGTATTCTAACGAATGAATCAATCAATGATTGACAATCAAAAAAGAATTGTTTCATAATCAATTAGATATTCAATGAAAAAAAAAAACACAAAATTTATGCCTACCTGTTATGGTTGTCTTTTTTCTTGGTTGTAATGGCGTTTTAGGTGTTGATGAACGTAATAACATACCAACTTGACATCGAGATTGTTTTGTTGATATTGGTTTTAAATTAGGTTGTAAAGATAGATTTTTACGTTTTTTTGTATTAGCTGATGATGATGAATAGAGAATTGAAGCAAGTGAATTCATTAGTTATTTATTTTTGTGTGCTTGTTCTTGTCTAGAAAAGAATATCATCGAAACATTTTATATAGCATGTAAAAAAAAAATCATTTTCAATTGACTAGAACAACATTTAGATTATTCATCGTGTATATCATAAATGTGCATGTGCGTATCATATCGCAAGAAGATTAATCGGATGGCAGCCGATATAATTATCATAGCAGAGATTTTTTTTTTCTGATAAATACGACGACATAATCAAAGTGGAAATTTACTGTCATTATCGATGAACCATCAGATTAAAATGACGATTTATTATCAGCTAGTAATATCATTTACGCTCTTTTTTTCTTTTGCGCTCTCTCTCTCTCTATCTCTATCTCAAGGGAAACGTAATCACAAGTGTTAATAACTTTTCTGTTGTTAGTCTATTTGAAGTTACATAGAACTCGTGCATCACTAACACTAGCTTATACACACCTATATAGTCATAATAAATAGGTGAGCAAGCCGCATAAATTGATTGACAAAGAAAAAATAACAAAAACATGTACGTAGACATCTTAAGATGAAATAAATAATTTGCGCGTGCGACTCTACTTAAATTAATAAAGTCCGACAAATGAAGAAAAGGTGCTGAGGAATTAACGCTTCTATATACAGCTTTATAAACAGTTCAAAAAAGAATAACACTCATTTAAATTAGTGAAAACAGCTATAACATATAAAAATAAATTCGAAATATACCGTATATGATTAGACAATATATTTATTATAAATCATATTTTTTAATTGAAATGTCAAGACGAATCGAGCTGATAGATATAAAATGTTTTTTATCTTATAACTATAATGAAGCTATTTCGACGCAGCAAACATTAGTAGATCGTCGTAATTTTCTAGAAGAATGTAAAGATCTTCTTTTCTGAAAAAACATATGAACAATTTTTGGCTCCGCCAAGAAGAAAAGACGTTCTGGTGGGAACATCATTGGCTTGTAGAATGATTTAATTCTGTTGAATATACTAGAAATTTAAACTTTGAGAGATACATTTTAAAATTGTAACATTGTTACATATGAAAAAAGCAGTGGTTGAAAAAGGTTTAGTCTCTTTCACAAATGAGACATTTCTATATTATAAGAGAACAGTAGCGGATTTCAGGAAGCCGCTGAAGATAATTGTTCCTCTTCCAAAAGATTTTTTTTGAAGAAGAGGCTTTAAAATGAGTTGATACTACTTCTAATAAGCTTCAAAAAACATTTTATGCTCACGATCGCCCACTTCTCAATCGAAGCCCCCCTTATTCATAAAAATCCTAGATCCGTCAGTATAGAAGAAGAATATATCTACTTTTCAGCCTCAAATGAGGGTCGAGTCAATGGTGGATTAAACAAGGAGTACACTAAGAACGATAGATCCTCACTTCTAACCTACTTTTCAATTTTTCTCAGCAGAAAATGGGTTGATACTACCTCTATCTAGCTTCAAAACACTTTCTATGATCATCATCGCTTTCAATCATGAAAATTCTAGATTCTATATTAGACATTTTTCGTTCCTTCTCGAAAAAAATCACTAAGTTTTACAATTCTAATTTAAAAAAGAAGAGAAATAGTTGATTTATGTAACTAACTGTATATGAATTATTCAAACAAAAAAAAATTGATTTTCTTCTATTTTCATGGACTCACCTGCCACTTATGTTGATTAATATCGTTGACTGTCAAAGAGCGAGATGCGTTGATGCGCAAACAAATTGAATTACCACTCGACTGACGAACGATACTATGAGCGAAAGAGGAAATACGAAAAGAACAAAAATTATTTATTGGTTATTAACATTTGATTTTTCTCGTCTACTGATTGGATAAAGAATAGTTATAAGTCGAAAAAAAAAGATGAACAAAATAAGAATATATAAAAGGTGGCAACTGTCAAGTCGAGAGATTGTTCACGCAGCATATAAACACCTTTACAACTTCCGCTGTACTCAAACTGTTTTCTTTCTCGACAATGAATATTAAATTGATTATTTTTCTCACTCACAAAAAAAAATGACAAAATAATTTTTTTTTTTGTTAGTTAACATGTATTTACGATAAACAAGAAGAAAAAAGCTAGCAAATAGAATGATTAATACATGTATGTGTCAATCAATCGAGCATAGTGATCAACTATTATGTATTTTTTTTTTGTTTTTAATTTGAACAAAATGGCTAAAATTAGTGAACCAGATGATAAAATATGTAGATATTCTGGACACTAAAAGAAAGCTGTTGCCTCGTTTAGAGTTTTTTATTATTATTTTTATTTGGTTTATAGTCGATTGATGTGTGATGGATACAATATCGTTCTTATAGTTTGATTTCATGTGGTGTTTTAAAAAAATACACATACATCAACTCTTTTTCGATTTGTTTTTCTTGTCGGCACAATCATTGTTTGTTTTTCTACGACTAGTTTGAAGAAAATCAGCAATTTGATTTGATTGAAGTATATTTCTTGATTCGATGCGGGAGAGTGAATGCACGTGCACATTAGATAAATTTACCTATGATTTTCTTCTTTTTTCTTTTTATGATATGATGAATAGGAAAATTTTGAGAATGCTGATGGCTAATCTATTTGACAAGCAATTATCAATTTGACTACATGCTTTCTTTTTTTTAAATTTTATTACACATTGATTTTGATGATATTAAAAGCAATACTTCTTAACCCATACGTGTGAAATCTTTTGTTGTTTTGTATTATTTGTTTCTTCCTCTCTATTATCAATTTAAACAACGGTTTGCTAATATGACATCGATTTAGGACAAAAAATTATCTCAACATATATTTTAAAGTTGAATATATTTAGAACGAAACAGTGATATGGTAATATATTCCCAGCTAGTTGTTTTGATGATGCATCGTACGATTGTAAACGAGAAACAGATGTAGT